ATTATCAGCTGCCTGGCCAACAAGTCTGAGACACATTGAAGAATGGAGCTTCAGATGGAGCTGGCAGCCCAGCACCTGCTTGGGCTCCGGGAACTTGGACGAGCCATAGCTTCAGGAATGACAGAGGGCTTGGCAGAGCTGGTTTGCAGCAACGCGCAAGAGGACCAGGTTCGGCCCCTGATACAGGAGGTGAATGGGCCTCCCGAAAATGATGTGACCCTGCCTTAGCACATTGAAGTTTGAGTGTTCAGAGTGTTGCTGAAGTTGTTGTATACGTAGCAGTGCAGTGAGCCTCAGGAAGGACAACCAATGGCTTTTGGAAATCCTCCTGGACTTTCCAGCCTTCCAGGAGAGATGCCCAAGCAAGTTTGAGGCTGCGGAAATCTTGAAGAGTTGCAATGACAAGTGCAAGGCGCAGCGTGTGAACTTCGACCTTTGCGATTACAGAGGGGGTTTGGCACTTGCGTGTCGTAGAAAGTTTCCTGGCAGGGTCTGGCCATCCGGGCAACGCATGGTCTGGCTTCTTGTTTGCAAAAATATTAGGGGGCGGTTTGAGGTGAGTTTCGTGCATGTTTGGTGTGTTATGTCCCAAACGAGGATTTTGAGACGGAGTTGGATGCTCAATGCCATCGCCTCACGAAGCTTTGGGGCCGGTTGCGGAAGTTGTGGAACAACTCTAAGGGCTCATCCCGCCAGCTCTGGTTGCAAAACCTGAAGGACCTCATGAAGCCTGGAGACCGAGACCCTCAGTGCAAATCCAGGTTCTAGGGGTAGCGCTTGAACACATGTTGTTGAGTCCATGTTGCGGTCTTTGTGAAGGTGCCTCTGCTTAGTGGTGTTGCCCTTCTGAGTTGGCCTGAACTTAGGCTCGATCGGTTGCTGGAAGCGACTCCCAGATGAGCCACCAGGACGGCATGGAGGAGACATCCAATGATGCAGCGCAGGCCTTGTTGGATGACATTGAGGGATCTCCTGAGCATGTGGGAGAAGGGGAAGCCTGGCGTGTGGCAGAGGCTGAGGCAAGCGACCAGGCTTCAGATGCTACAAGCTATAATCCCGTTGTGGATGACTTCTGCAATGACATGCGACCCCTTTCTGATGCTGAGGGTGAGGTACCATCGCCCGAGAATGTGGAGGAGCCAGTGCCTGTTGGCTATGTTGGGACATCAGGAAGCTCGAGTTCAGATGATGAGAGTTCGGAGATTTGGGCCAGCCGTGAGTTGAAGCCAACGCACTCTGTTGACAGCGAGGAGACCTTGATCCTTGGAGGGTCAAGGCCTGAGGAGCTGGCAGCTGTGTTGCCGGAGCTGGTTGATGGCTTCAACCCGCCGCCATGCCTTCCTCCAGGCAAGATTGTCGCCTCCTAACTCCTAACAACATGTGCAATGCTTGATGATAGTTGATTGCCCCTGTATCTGTTGTGGCACTAGAACTAGAAAGGTGAGCGCAAGCAGAAGAAAAAGAAGACGGCTACAAAGGCTGGAGGCGGCAAGAGCAAGCCTTCCAAGGATGAAGCATCGATGACGGATGCTGGCACCGGACATGGTGAGAAGGCTACTGGCCTCAAGCGGAGGGGCTTCTTGGTTGAAGTCGACATGATAATACATGTGACATTTGTGTTTCTTTGGATGCCTTCATGCTGAGCTGCATTCGTGGAGTGTGAGAATACATGTGGCTTTGTACGGGTTGGATTGCTTCATCTTAAGGTGCTTTCCTGGAGAATGATGCCGACATGGACGAGCAGGACAAAGCTGAGATTGAGCATGGAAATGACTTGAAGACCATTTTGGGGAGCTTCGACCAGTGCTACCATGCAAACATTCTCAAGCTGCCCAAGGTGATGATGCCGAAGACGACCCACCACGGCAAGCACAGCTACACAGTGAGCGTGCCAGACCATGCTGGGAAGATGCACAGGGTAGAGGTGCTCCTCCGCCAGAATGCATTCAAGCCGAAAATGGATGGGGTCAAGAGTGGGTCGTGCCTGGGATTGCAAATCACTAGAAATCTCGTTTTGACATGCGTGTTGTGTATGGAGGAACCTTTTTTGCCTCATGTTGCCAAGGATTTCCTGGAAGAGCCAGCCCATGGAGGATGCCTTTGCGTCGCTGATGAAGAGGATCAATGCTGAGGACTAGCAATGCTGCTCCGGTCAGCAGCAATTTTGTGGGACAATTTCAAGATGCTTTAAAGGGGTAGAAGCAGAGGCAAGCAGCCTTTGCATTCGTTGCAGCCGCAGCCTTCAAGCCTGGTTGGAAAACGAGAACTTCCATGCTGGAACTTGATGCTGTGACCCCGCCTGCTTTCACCCACCACCCTAGAAGCCAAAGCTTATGCAAGCCACAAAAACATCATCAGAGGAACACAATGGTTGCTCGCGTTTGCGTATATCTCCTGATCCTTGCGACCCTGGACATTCCCTTTTGCCTGGAGCAACCAGCCAGCAGTTTGTTGGAATGGCATCCTTTATTCGCGTTTCTCGCTCGCAACTTTACCATCTACAAGGTCATTTGCCTGCAACATCAGCATGAATCCGCAGTGTGCCATTTGTCTGTGTTCTTAACAATCCCCAGTGTTACAGTCATGGGCGCCACTCCCGACCGGTGCCCTGGTGTGGGGGTGGGGTTAGAGGATGAGGGGTTATAGTTACAGTGGCCAGGGGTTCGGGGTACTTTTAGGGGTTGGGGTTTAGGGCTTGGGGTGGCTAGGGGTATAGGGTTAGGGGTTAGAGATCTAGGGGTTAGAGGGGTTAGGGGCAAGAATTGGGGTTGAGGGGCGAAGGGGGGTGGGGTTAGGGGTATAAGGGTAAAGGGTTAGAGAGTCTAGGGGTTAGAGGGGGTAGTGGTAATCAGAAGAGGTTCAGGGTTTCAAGACAGTATTGTGATTGAATGAAAAGAAAGCAAACCAGCTCAACTAAGGTCTTCACTTGGATGGGGGCGTACGGGGGAGAGAGTCGGAGCCTATGCTGTTGGTGCTACAATTTCATTTATTGACTTACACGTTTCTGTTCTGCAGCTGACAAGTAGCCTGCCCACCCAGGTCCCAAAGGTACCCTCATCTACTCCAACTACAAGTTTATCTCTGAGTTGTATGTTCCGCTGCCCGACAATGTGCAGTGGTCGACAGAGATCACTACAAAGCATCCTGAATGTTTATGCGTTTGTGCAAGTGACCACGGTCTGCAATCACCTACATTTGGCCATGTCTGTGCTGCTGGAATCTAAGGCGAACAAGTGAAGACGGGACGGTAGCTGTGTCAGGCGGCGCAATGCTCAAGGAGACGCAGCATTATCCAAAACGTTTTGGAACGGCGGTGTGCCAGATGTATATCCGCCACCAGGACATTGCTTGTGCGCAATCAAGTTGATGTCCTTGCTTGCCCGAACCCTTTCAGCTAGCGAACTAAAAGCATGACTTGTCCGAAGTACGAGATCGAAGCCTGTGTTCGAAGAAGGGCGTGGCTCGGAAAAGCATTAAGCCTGTGACATATAGGATGGTTTGCTTCCATAGTTATGCATCCGACAACGCGCGAGTGTGTGAGGAAAGAGATCCGGAACATGGGGCAGCAGCCAGCGATGCGTGTTTCTTGGCCAGTAGAAACTACAAGTAAGAGAGGTTGGTTTCAGTGTATATAGTACATAACCAAAAAATGTTGTGACACCAACATCCTCGATTGTCAACTCATGTCAGAAAAAGGCATTAGCTTCGAGAGATATTGGGCATGCGACGCAAGGGATCCCCCATTGACCTTCATATAATATTGTCTGTGCCTGTAAAGTTGTCCTACCCAGGTTCTGGTTTGTTTCCAAGAGTCTTGGGATTGCTGGTTATCAGTTCATCCGCTGAAGATGATGTTTCTCCAGTTCATGAAATTATTGGGGCGATCATGCTGCAGGCTTGTGGGGTTTATCGGGTTTATCGGGTTTATCGAGTTTATCGGGTTTATCGGGTTTAGGTTTATCGAGTTTACTGGGTTTATCGGGTTTATCGAGTTTACTGGGTTTATCGGGTTTATCGGGTTTATCGAGTTTACTGGGTTTATCGGGTTTATCGGGTTTAGGTTTATTGGGTTTATCGGGTTTATCGAGTTTACTGGGTTTATCGAGTTTACTGGGTTTATCGGGTTTATCGGGTTTATCGGGTTTATCGAGTTTACTGGGTTTACTGGGTTTATCGGGTTTATCGGGTTTAGCGGTTTATCGGGTTTATCGGGTTTAAACTATGGTTTCGCATCCAACATTCTAAGGATCCTGGCTGGGCTCGATCAGCCAACCTGAGGCAGGCTCTGCATGCCTTGATATAGCTAGGCGGAGATATAGCATGCAATTGCATGCTTTAAAGGCTCACAGAGCTGCAGCCGTCCAGCAAACACGGGTAGCATGAGGTGCAATGAAGCCGCTGAACTCATCTTTACAAATATAGATATAAGTCTCCCAGGATTTGTTTAAGGTTTGGCAGGCAAGCCTGCTGGTTTATTGGTTTTTGAGACCCCCAGGCAATCCTTTCAGGTTTTTTTTGGTTTTTGAGCCTCCCAGTGATTTTTTTTAATATTTTTTTGAAGGAAGTGAAAACCCGATAAACCAAGAAATTTCCGATAAATACCCAATAAAATCCAATAAAATTTCTTGGTTTATTGGCTGTTTCTTGGGGTCATTTGTTTTTCACAAATTGCAGGCCCTGAACGCGAGAATTCCAATAAATTTGCCCAATAAATCGAGAAATCCAAGAAATTCTGTGAGTTTAAGCTCCCCTTGCGGTTCCTGGGTCCCAGGTGGCTGCTAGCTCAGGCAGTGTAGGTTGAAGTTGCCTCTGTTAACCCTGGTGAGCAGTGCTTCTTGTGTCATGCGCAATTAAAGGAAGATGCCGTGTGTCTGCATACGGGGGAAAAGATGAATGCCTTCGGTTTGCATGGCGGCTATGTTTTGCAGAGCTCTAGCAAACAGTGCATGCGGCATGAACGCAGAGAACATTTTTCAGTCGAGGCATTATTCCTCATAGTGATGCCGCCTTCCAAGCCCCGCTCCCCTAAGAAGCCAAAGCGGCGGCTGTCTGGAAAGACGCCTGAAGAAGAAGCTGCGAAAAGTCCTGTAAAGCCAAAGAAGCAAACCTTGTCAGGTAAGAAGCTTCAGCAGCTGGCAAAGCAAAACAGAGCTGTTGCCAAGCAGAAGGAGAAAGCTTCTGCGGAACCAACTGTTTGCAAGACACCGCCCCCTCTCTTGAAGAAGCGAACCCTAGCAAGCAGCGAAACCAGCGGAAGCAAGCGGAGCGAGAAGGCTGCAAAGGTTTCTTTCAAGAAAGAAGAGGAGGTTTACCCTATCCCCGTCACCCCCCCAAAGAAGGTCAGAAAGGAGCTGTTCAAGCAGGAAGCAAGCCCAAGGATGACCATAGAAAAGGCTGACGAGATCATCGAGCAGATGGATGAAGAGAAGGAGGACGAGGAGTCTTCCTCTGCCTCTGCGTCTGCTGAGCCAGTTATGTCTGCTGAGGAGAGCAGCAGTGAGACAGCCTCTGGCACGAGCTCTGAGGACGAAGCGGAGGAAAAGCAAAGCGAGGCAGGAGAGGAGGGCGCAGATATGTCCTCAGCTGCTTCTGAGGCTGAGGCTGATGAAGAAGCAAATGATGAAAAGGACGAGGAAGAAGATGAGGATTCAGCAGGCGAGGAAGAAGCGGAGGGTAGCTGCAAGGAGCAGCTAGGAGACGAGGACGATGACGACAGTGATGCTAGCAGCAGCGACGATGAGGAGGAGCAGGAGGAGGAGCCGGTCCAGATTGAGGCCACAAAGAAGGATAAAAACAAGAAAGCAAGTGGCAAGATGGTCAAGGAAAAGGAGGTAGTTCAGGAAGCCAAGAAGGAGGGTCGGGAGGTTCGCAAGGAGCGAAAAAGCAAGGAAAAGGAGCGCGGCGGAGAGAAGGAAGAGGAGCAGAAGGCACAGCAAGCAAAGCAATCTGAAGCTCCCAAAGCACCAGAGAAGCCCCCAATGATTCCCAAAAGAAAGGTGCAAGATGAGAAGGAAGCAGCTGCGAAGAAAAACAAACGCAAGAAGGAGGAAAACGAAGCGGAAGATGATGGAAACAAGAAGGAGGGAAAGAATGAGAAGAAGACGGAAAAGGCGGCGGATAAGGCAAGCAAGGATGACAAGAAGGATAGAAAGAAAGACAAGAAGAATGCAAAGAAGGAGGAGAAGACAGGCCAGAAGAACAAGAATGAGGATGGGAAGACGTCAGAGAAGAAGCCTGCGACAGAGAAGGGCGAGGCGGAGGAGAAGAAGTTAGCCCAGGCCGAAGAGGGGTTGCCCAACAAGAAAGAAGTGAACAGCAACAGCCACCATAAGCTCTACCAACGCTACGGTCGATGGATCAAAAACAAAAAGCGCTTCCCTGAAGCCCTAGCAGCAAGACTTCAAACAGAGGATGGAAGGATGAAGCTTTTCGCGGATTATGTTGAGGCTGGAGGTAAGACAGAGCAGGTTTTGCTCAAGCATGAGCAACAGCTAAAGGAAGCCCAGGCCTCTAGGATCAGGTACGGATTCAGGTCCGAAAAATGGGTCAAGGACACGCATGGAGAAGCAAAGGCTGCCAGAATCATGGAACGAAAGGTTAATCAAGGGTTGAAACTTGTCTTGTTTTGGAAAACACGTTTATTCCTTTTTTGCAAAACCTTTGGCAATCACAACTTCTTTACGTAATTTGTTCAAAAGCATGTTCTGCTCTTTATTCAAATTTGAGTTGAGGACCATAGCTGACCCAGAGTCCCCAGAAGACTTGCTGTATTTCATGTTCATAGAAATCAACATCGACGACGTGCGAGAACTTCAGAAGATCACCAAGTTGGAGCTTTCCGGCCAAATAAATGCCGAGTGTTTGGCGGCGTTTACCAAGGCAGTTCAGATCAGTTGTGCGTGTTATGACACAGTTTGAGTCTGTTTCAAGTGTGTGCATCAGAACATGATGATTTGGATGTTTCCTTGGCACAGGAGGGTGGTGTCTTGGATCCGAGCAAGCAGCAGCTTGCGCTTGCTGCTGGCCCATCGGCCGCAGGGATGGCCAAGGCTTTGCAGATGACAGGAGCTGTCGCCCCGACTAAAGCCAAGAAAGCTGGCACCAAAAAAGGGGGGGAGAGTGTCCCTGACAAGGCCAGGTATGAGGGCAGGGTTTTGTGATTTCATTACAGTTTGTGCAGGTGGTGCCGGAAACGCCATTGCAGAAAGCCTCTGGGCTTGTCAACGTTGTCTTGCGGGAGAAGAACGCTTGCAGGTCCATGTCTGCATGGCCAGTTTGTGCTTGTGTTAATGGGGTATTCCTGGGCAGGGGCCTGGCCTTCAAGCTGAAGCCTATCAAAATGAGTGAAACACTGATCCAGCAGCTCTTGGCACTGGAGAAGAAGTTCAACGAGAAGGCTTTCAACTAGCTAAGTAGCTCTAGCTGATGGGTCCCAGTTTGCATGTTTAGCAGGCCACGGCGTTGCAGTCGCTCGTGCAAGCCAAAAGAATAAGAACAAGCATTACAGGGACATTATTGGCGAGGCACGAGCGTAGTTCAGTGTGTGTACTGTTTACAACCAGAGCCCCTTTCCTGTTCCAGTGCTAGGTTGAGCGCTTGAAGGAGACAGCAAAGGAGAGGACGGACATTGCAAAAGCTTTGCTTCGGGCAAGCCAGAAAGCAAAGGAACAGCAGGCCAACAAGGGCAGCACTCAGGCGGATGCCAAGGAAAAGGCATCGCAAAAGGATAGCGCCAAAGGCGCAAGTGCCAAGGCAAAGTCCTGAGGTCCAAAGGGCCCGAAGGTCATCTCAACAGTTTTGATTTAACCATACAACAAGCGAATGCTTCGGCTCTACGTTTGAGATGACCTGCTTTTGAAACTGTGAGTCTGTCGCCTTAGAAGTCCTGCTTGCTGCCTGCGTGGGCACACTGTAGTTGCAACCTGGGGGTGATTGTTATTATAACGGGGGACTAATAGCAAGTTCAGAGCTGCAGTAATGAAAGGAGTTGCAACAAACGCAGTGGAGTGCATGTGCAGTGGCAGCTGATGTGGCGCAGCCCAGAAACATTTTGCGATCGACGATCTTTAATTTTACAACCGCCTCCCGAAGTCTGTGCTTCACAATCGCTCGAGAAATCAACCCCTGCTTTGAATGCTTGAAGTCTGCGCAGCCTTGAAAGGAGCATGCTTATCCCCAACAGAGTGCTTGTGTGCTACAACCCAAAACACGCAGGGCAAGGTCAAGATCGCGATCACGAGCCCGAAATTCCAATGATGATGCGATAGTTTTGAGTGCCTTGGCTGTTTTGTGTGGGTTTGGTTCTGACGCACTGACATGTTTGCCATCTGCTCCTAGTAAGGTTCCCTGGCCCACGACCCCACGAATACGACGCACGAAGGCTCCTTCTCTGCAATTCTGTCTACAGCATGGCAGTCTACCATTCAAACTGCTAAGCTTTGGCTGCGCAAGGTTGGGATGCTGTGGAGAATTCCAGTCGCTCTGCTCGCCGAATATTGCGTGAGATTTGCTCAGGTGTGTCTTGTTTGACGATTCATGAACAAGTTTGGCGATGCTCGTTTTCTTTGTGCTGTATTTGTATCTCCCATACTGTGATGCTTGATTTCATGCTTCTAAGAAGCTGGCTGCTACTGCTGGTGTTGCGCAAGCGCGTGATTTGGTGGAAGACAAATGTGCCTGCCCCTTGGCTGCTACCCTAGCTGGTTTCGCGACTGGGCATGAGGAGCGAAGTTTTCAAAGGCTAGGGGTTAAGAAAGCATTTTGTTTTGGCAATCTAACTTATGTCATTTGGATTCCAATCAGGTGGTATTCAAAAATTGCTCAGATTCCGCCTGGCTTTGTGGAACTGCCTCTACGAATGGCGGAAGAAGATGGCAGCCTCAAAGAAACAAACCACAGCATCGCAATTGCATGGCCTTGGGATTTGCTGAGTTGGCTTCACCGGAAGAATCACTTGCTTCAATGGGCATCGAACACCCCACAAGCCGACATAGTCATTGCAGAAAACCGCAGGTATTGGCGGGCCTTGGGTAACGAGGAGTCTGTTCAAAACCTGAACCTTCAGAATCCTGAGATGACGTTTCCAATCTTTTGGCACACAGACGGTGTGCGAGTTTACAAGCAACAGAAGTGTTGGATATACTCGTATTCATGTGCCAACAAGAAGGGGCCTTCTCTGTCGTCAAAGTTGATGATGTTACTTGTGCGGGAGCCTCTAATTTGGAAGCCTTTTACGCACGATCGCATTGGTGAGCTTGTTGGGTGGATTCAACGTGTCTTACAGACTGGCCGCTTTCCGGCTACAGACTTTAATGGCGATCCCTGGCCAGCAGGGTCAGCAGAAGCTGGAAGGGCCAACAATTTGATTGCAGGAGGCTACATGTTTGCTTTCAGCGGCTTCAAAGGTGATTGGGAGGCTCGGGTTGTGGTGCACAAGCTGCAGAGAAGCTACAATCACAACAACATTTGCGAACATTGCCCAGCCAGCAAGCTAGACACTGCTTTCAATTACCGCAATTTCGCATTGGACGCTGCCTATTTGGATGTTTGCTTCACGCATGCCCAGTTCATGATTATGACCCCGGAGCACTTGCGGTCTTCATGGCAATCCGTGCCAGGCTGGACGAAAGACAGGAACCTGGAGGAAACCTGTGCAAGCGTAAGCTGTTGTGTTTTCCCCACCGGACTAATCAACGAAGAGATTTTGTGTTTGCATTTCGGGATTAAGTGGTTTGTTGTTTCGGGATTCACGGTTCCACGGCTTATAGTGCAGAGCGGAGAGTATTTCTTTGGTGGTTTAACTCAGGATCTTCTTCATGTGCTCCATCAAGGTGTCGCTTGCTGCGTGATACCGGCGCTCGTCTGCGCTCATTTCGAATCAAAGTTTGGGGATGCGCTGACACTGAAACAATATGACAGACTGTTGCAAACCGAAGTTTGGCAGCATTACAAAGCCTGGTGTAGGAAAACCAAAGTTCCTGGGTGTGGTCATCGCTTCACATTGGGGCGTTTTGGTCGTGAAAGTTGGGGCACGCAGCCAGAGCTGCAATCCTGCTACAAGGCATACACTGTCAAAATGATGATCTATTGGCTGCATGCGTTTCTGTTTGATGTGCAGGCAGAGGCAACGGGGGGTCCTGAGCGTGTTTGCACTTCCTACGCGCTTGCAAAGATGCAGTTCGACTTTGATATGAGCGGACCATTTCTGACCGATTCGATGAGGAGGGACGCTGTCACGATGGGAAGGTCGTTTCTTCTGTTCTATCACCAGTTGTGTTCCGAAAATCTGGGACAGGAGCGTCGAAATTTCAAAATGATACCGAAGTTTCATTCATTTCTTCACCTTCTGCTTTATGTTGAGAGAACTTCGCGAAACCCAAGGCCGGAGATTCCCAAACTTCGGTTTATGTCTTGATTTTCAATTCGTATTCATCAGCCAACTCAAATAAACCTTAGCCCACGTTGCACCCCGACAGGTATGAGCATTGTTATCAAGACGAGGACCTCATGAAACAGCTTGGTCGAATAGCTTCATCTTGCCACCCGTCGACTATGGACAAAGTGACATGCAATCGCTACCGGGCACTCTTGGAGTTCGGAGATGTGTTTTGAAGCACACTGGAAAAAATGTGAGGGACAGCTTGCTTCACCCGCATCCCCTTTCTTTGAAGCCTCTTGGGCCTCGATAATTTGAAATATGAAGTGTACATCCAAGGTTCAGGATTCTGGGATCCATTCTAGGGCTCAAGAAAGCTCCGCCAAACCCTGTAATTCTAAAATACAGTGCGCACCTCTCATGTCGGGCCCCCCAAATTATGCAGAACCCCATGTGTCCGCGACGTTATTTCACTGAGGGCCTGACAAATTGGCCCGTGGAAGTTTAAGTTAGGGTTGGGGGTTTAGGGGTTAAGGGGTTTAAGGGTTGAGGACTTAGGGTTTAGGTTGAACATAAAAGCAGATACATGGGGTAACCTCTAAACCCAGCAGAGCCTCGCTTGCACATGGAACATTTCCGGAGCGGCGGATGGAGAAAATCTTACAACATCTAATATCCCCAAAGTACTGTAATTCCTAAATTATATTACGTATATAGGGTTATCTTATGTAAGGTTTTCTCCATCGACGGAAGGAGATTGGCTGCTTGGTTTCTTTAGGGATGTGATGGGGTCTGAGGATTTGTTGGGTTTACTTATTTGACCTATAGTCTAAACTCCTCATTTTCTCTGAATATCGCCCATTATAAGAAGTCTATGTATTCCCAATATAGTTTCTTTTGAGGAGGTTAGGCTATAGCTCATGAGAAATATTTGGCCTTCTAAAATCTAGAAGGGCGCATGCTCTGAAAAGAATGCTTTGCGATTGTTTAAGTTTGCTACTTCCAGGTTGTTTTGTTTGGGCTTGGGAAGGATCTCCGGGTCCAAGGTTATGCTGTGAAAGGTCTTTGGGCTGAACTAACGTTGCCTGTACCCGCTATACCAATGCACGATTTAGGGTAGAGAGGTTTATTAGGGTTGAAGGGTTTAGGGTTGTGGGTTGGAATTCCAGAACCAACGGCGCATTGCCCAAATAGCCTTCAACATCCTTCGCTCTACAACCTGAAAGCTTTCACCCTAAACCCTGAACCTCTTTTGCACAAGCCTCATTCACAGAAGAGATACCTGCAAAACCTTCCGATCCCTTTCCAAAATTTGCAGCTCCCTTTACATCAGAAAGCCCCGGAAACTTTCCCATTATAATCTTTAGAGTACTTTAGGGTTTGTATAGGGTTTAAGTTTGAGGTCTTCACTTGTCCCAGCTCTTTATTCGAGAGCATGCGCCACAAGAAATCAGAAGGAACCCATTTAAATTCTTGTATCATCACATCTCATATAATCCCTATATACCCGCGCTAGTTAAGGAAAGAAAGAGAAACCCCTAAACCCTAAAACCCTAAACCCTTACCGAGACTATTGAATTGATTTTATTTTTGGCTCAAATCATTTTGGCTCAAGATTCTGGAGGCAACTCTTCAGAGTGGGTCCAGAGTCGTGTATAAACGACAACGCAAGGCGCGCGCACGGGCGCGCGG